ATGGCTTACCCTGTATCCTGTCCTTACTGGTGACATTTTGGGGTTCCTCTGCAGTGGTTTCCTTTTTTTTTTAACATGAGAGCTAATACCTGAGGATTTTTACAACTCAATCCCACTTTCTCTCCTATCTTATTTCTTATATTTTAACTATCCTAGTGAGAACTGTTACAAAAGGTCTAAAGCCACATCGATGGCTCCCTCTCAGTATCAGCGGTTTTTAATCTTCACAACAAACCTGTGAGGTAGGTTAGGCTGAGTGAAAGAGGTTAGGTTTTTGACCCCTCCCAGTACTGGAATGCAGGTGCTGTGATTGGCCGAAATGATGCAGCATGGACCGGTATACATGTATACTCTCCACTGACAAATAGGCTCGAAATGTTGATACCGCAACAATCCAAATTCTGTCCCATTAAATGCTTAATTCTGCACCCAGTATAAATGCATGCAGAGCTGTATAAGTTTACAAATTTGTGGAGAACTTGCATGTCCCTAAACAAATAGACTTTCCCGTATCACTTCTGTGACGTTATCTGCCCAAGTTATTTGGTTTTGCCAGATAGGGGGAGTGGCGAACAAGGATCAGTGCTGGAGTAAGGCGGCTGGTGGTGTTTGGAAAGCTAGCCCGGCAGTGCTGTGCATATTTACCCGGTAGGAAGTCCCCCTAAATTCAGTGGGTCTTCTGAGTAGACATGGCTAGGATTGTGCTGCCAGCCTCCGTGGTTTCCACTGGTCCACACATTTCTGCACAGTCAAGAACATTGCTTTTTAAGAACATTAACCATACTTTGTACCCAATAGAATAAGATTTGGCCTCCCTTAAGAGCGTCCACAGAATTTTGAAAGATAGCCCACTCGGTAGGTATATATTCAGTGCACACTTTCTTGGCAGTGAAGTCCATTGAGTTGGCTTATGTAGGATCGTGCTGACTGCCCTCAGGATTTCTGCATATTTGTGTATAGTCCGTTAAGGACTAGAGACTTGCCTCTTAAATTAAAATAAATGCCAAACTTTTTTGCCACTTCTTTGCTGGTGCAATTGTTCTTGCAATGCCACCTGACTGGCTTTGTATCATGCTATCTGTGGAACCTGAAACAGAAAGACTTAGTCCATTCCTCAAAAATGGTGTTTTATTTGTACAGCGGATTTGGGATGGCGGTGTTTGGACAACCTTGACAAATGGTGAGCTCTTGTAATACATGCTGATAATGCGATAGCCCTTTAGTGGTTGGGTCGTGACGTTTGTACAGCACGCAATCTCGGAAATGAACACAGATTTAAAAAATTCTCTCCGAGATGATGCTAGGCATATATCATTAGGTTTAGGAAATGGTCTTAATAGTGTAATATAACTAATGTATTATTTCTCCTACTGTTTTCTAATAGTCACATAACCAGATTTATGTTTTTTGTAATTTCCCCCCTCTCCCTTTCCATTCTTTAATTTACTCTGTTTTATTGTCGGCGGTGTACGTTCAGCATTTTTTTATTGCTTTGTGTAGTTTATTCTGGTTCCTGCTAATGATGGGGAAGGGGTTCTGGGGGTATGTTTTGTAGCTCCGAAACAAAATCTGATGGGCTTGGAGATGGATGGCAGGAGGAGAATAATAGCCACACATTAAATCTGAGCAGAAATGTTTCTGCCTCGGCTGAATATGGAACAAAGGTTTTTGCATCCGAGTGCATAGCCTGGTTATTGTTGACAGTGGGCTCCGTGGGCGAACTCGTTCGGCTAAAAAAGGCCCCAGAATTACATCAGCTGTGTAAGGGGTGTTGTGTGCGATTAGCCACGAGGGCTTATTGGAACCTGCATCTAAGAAGGCAGCGGATCTCCTGAAGGCCAAATGCCAGGGATGGGCAACTGCCAGGGGCCGTGTCCTGAAGCCCCCCCGACCCCGGCATCTCTGGAGCAGCAGAATCCTGCACAAGGGCTCGTTGGTCTGATCTGGCAAGGAGCCTCCAGGAAATCCTGTTTCGCCTTTTGCTGAGGGCATTTTGGGGGCTGAATGATGCTCTCTAGTCAAGCAGTCTTGCAAGGGTACCGAATGACTGCATATGTAACAGATGTGCGTGCAGCCTTCCCCAGCCAGGGCTCTCCAGATGTCAGTCCTCGCCAGCCGGGCCAACGGTCAGGATGCTGGAGGAGGCAGTGCAAGCGTCTGGAGGGCACCAGCTCAGGAAAGGCTGCTTTAACGTACATATAAAGCTGGAGTCCACCATGGCTGGGCTTGTTTTGAAGGGCGCTTCCTGCCTTGGCGCTGTGGAAGGCAAGAGAAAGGGAGCAGAGCGTTACCAGAAGGTACAGCGAGGGCAGGCTGACTGCACACAGTGGGGGGGGGGGCACTGCCAGCTGCTGCTCTTCCTTCTTCCTGCCATGGACTCGGCTCGCACCAAATGACAACCCAGATGCAGGCTTCTGTTGAATCATGGGTTGTCGTCATGTGCAGACCCTGCGCTGTGGTTTAGCTATGCATTGTTAACCACAGTGGTGCAGGAAGATCTCGTGGTTTGTTGCCGGGTTGTGAAGTCTGGGTTCTTTGGACTGGACAGGAAGGCATGAGATCTGTCACCTGTTGTTTAGGGGTAGACCCTCTCCCTAGGTGGAGAGTCCTCTTGGCAAACCCTGGACTCTCTGGTTGTTCTACTGTTAAGTTGTGCATCTTCCTCTCCTCTCCTCCCCTCTCTGTTTGGCGATGACGTGGGTACGCTCTCTCTCATGTCTTGGGAGGCTTCTGCAGAGGACTGGGGCTTGATCAAATGTCTTCATTTTCCAGAGTGTTAGGCTAAGAAAAATGTGGGCTGTTGATTAAAATATTGCCTCCATCTGATATTCTGGAGTGCACGCATTTTACATACATATCAGCAAGTTGAGGCATCCATTACATGCCATGACAGCTTGACTTACCTAAATGTGCTATCATTTAACGAAGTGTCAAAATTCTCCTTTATCCTCCATGACAGCAGTAAATAAGCTATCAGTTCCATTAACTCTGGGGAAACCTAGGGGTACTTAAGAGAGTGAATGGGGTAGAACAGTTTTTCCCAATCTGGTACCTGCTAGATGTGTTGGACTGCAATCCCCATCATTCCTAGTCAACATGGGATGTGTTGTGCTCTCTTATGCTGTGCTCTCTTTTCACCTTGATGCCACTAGGGGACAAGCTGGACTTGTCTCTGGGCTTTGGAGTCCTCTTTCTGTGCCTCCACGGGCAACTTGCGCCTTCTGCCTTTATTTCCACCTGTAAAATGGGAGTAAGGCACCTCACTTTGCAATGGCATGCATACCACAGGACTGAAAAGCTTTTCGCAAAGGATGTATTTATTGAATAATTCGTGATACACAGCAGAGTCCTCTACAATCATGTAGCTCATCAGAATTCTAGCTGTTCTCACCATCCTTGTAGCCCAGCACATCTGGTGGGCTCCTTCCCCCAGTTTCCCCTCTGCCCCCAAGGTCTCTTGTCCCCAGACATTCCCCGGAGGCAAGAGCTGACTTAGATGCACAAGAGGCAGCCCTCACTAAGGAGGGGTTTTTACTTGGGCCCCCAGAAGCCGTCAGCCGTTCAGTTGAAACATCCTAGAGTGTGTCTCAGCATACAACACGTCCAATTCTGGGTGAGAGACATGAGTTCATCGCAGATCGCTTGGTCATTGGCCATCTGCTTCCAGCCCCCCTGTATGTTAGGGAAAGGGGGCAGCGCTTCTCGAGTGTGTGAGTGGTTTGACCTCCATCTTTCCAGTCTCTTTACAGAAGCTGATGATGCATCAGGAAGGACTATCTGGGCATTATTATTTTTTTCAGCTTGGAAATCACTGAAATGCCCCCCAAATGCAGACACGACTGCGAGGGCACGTGCTCCAAAAACGTTAGCATATTCCCAAACCTGATAAATTTGCACCTTTCCCCGTTGCGTTCCTGGCAGACCACCTTCCCCATCCTGGTGTCTCACCTTTCATCACTTCGTGCAGTGAAAAATGTGTGGCAGACATTAGAACTGGGGAGGATGGCTTAAGCATGTTGGAGGGAAGCGTCTTGGGGTAATTTGTGAGGATGGGGAAGAAAGGGCTGATGGGGCAGCCTGGTTTCACCGCTTCCCAAAACGGCTTTCTACTGGTTGGAGGAAAAAATGGGCCAGTGAAGGTTTCACCGAAGTATCATTCTCTCTCTCTTTCCCTCTCTCTCTCCCCCACACCCCCCTCCTCTTTGTGGTTTGCATAATTGAGATTCAGCTGGATGAGATTCTTGCAGAAGATGAGGAGGAAGGGTTTTTATCTTTAGCACAGGCTGTTCTTACTTTAGAAACTGATGACCCCAATCGCAGCCCAAAGAGGGACTTCTTTCCTAATTAATAAACCCATTAATTAATTGTGTGCACACTGTAGCCCATTAGAGAGTGGGGGAGGGGCTGATTGGCCGAGAGATTGAGGTTAGCTGATTCTTTCTGCTCTTGCAAGGGTTGTGTTGGGGTGAGGAAATCGGCAAGGCAGAGGCTCTGGCGACAGAGTCAGACAGATAGTCCGTATCGCCAAGGGTGGGCTTGGACAGCCTTCCCCAACTTGGGGTCCCCAAAGGAGTTGGACTTCAGCTCCCATCAGCTCCCATCATATGGCAAATGGGGAATTCCGGATGGTTGAGCTAGCAGCTAGCGACCCTGCTGGTTCAGATCTTGTTTAATAGTGGTGCCAAACCAGAGGCTGCAGGCCAAGGTCAGGCCGTGTTCCCTGCATAGGTGCACTCCGTTCGTTCCTCCGCATCCTCCTCGCTTCTGCAGAGTTCCTCTCCCGACACACTCACACCCTTCAAGTAGGTTGCCAGGTCTCTGCTAAGGCTTAGTTACTGGCAGTAGGACCTTCCGTCCACAGCATGCTGGTCTTGGAGGTGTTTTGGCTGTGGCCACCACTGGAATCCAGTCCTCGAGCAGCTGGAAGCTCGCTCTGGCACTGTTCAGGGGTGAGTGAGGCAGACCTCCAGCTGACACCTTTGGACACTGGTAGAGGCGTCATGGCGGAGCAGCCAATGGTTGTTCAGGGGCTGTTTCTACTTGCCAAAGCCGAGCACCTGGCCCAGCTCGTGCTTTGCGAAACCATAATCCAAGCCCCAGTCGTGAGCCTGCAAATGTACCTGAGAAGGGTGGAGGATGCGTGGTATTTAAAGGACCTCCTGCTCCAAGGAAACAAAGTTCGAGTTTTGCTTGATATTCCTTTGCTGCGTGTTGGGGAACGCGAATCGGTTTGACAGCTTTGTGCTGAGAGCAAGGAGAGGAGGCACCTTGGAGAGGCAGCGAGTGCTCAGCCCAGGAACCGGGGAGAGCTTGGGCTCCATATGCTTGGCATATGCTGGTGGAGGAGGAGTTGCGTGCCCTCCCACTCCTGCTTTTATTTCCCCAGGAAGGCTTAAAAATAAAAATGCAGGCATTATCCCTGCATTTTCCAGTCCCCGAGCTAATGTTGTTTTCTCCCGATGAACATAAAGTTGTTTGACAGTCAGCTTGCAAATTGTGGAGGTTGGGTGGGGGGGGGGGTGGTTTAAAAAAAGAAAGTTTTTGCTGCTTTTTTTTAAAGCTCCGGAGCATGGGTGTGCAACTTGGGGCCTTCCAGATGCTGTTGGCTTCCTTCAGTCCTGCCCAACATAGTGAGTGCTCGGGGATGATGGGAATTGTAGCTGTATACTGGTTTTTTCCCTCAGGATTCAGAGAGCTATGTTCAGTGGGAATGTGATAAGCTGCAGATATAAAAATGCACATGGAGACCATATTTTAATGTAAAAAGGAACATGGTGAGAAACAGAAGCAATGTTGATACACAGCAGTAAGAAGCGTAATGAAGTCACCTGGAAGTGGCTGAGGTGATTTAAATTTGTTTTATTTTGAGACAACGGTGTTCAAATTCTCTGAGCTCACCCCCTGCCCTCTCTACTGGACTCTGAGCTCTTGAATTCATGGGGACCCTCATATGCCGACCTCGAAGGACTTGTGGGGTTCCGTGGGCATGACGGGACCTACCCATGTTATGAGGCTTCCTTACCAAACTCCCTTCAGTTCCCTCCTTCACCAGAAGGGGCACTAGTGTGCAGATTGGAAAATTCTGGGTTTAAATCATAGTTGTTCCTGGTAAATACATGAAATACACTGAAATGTCTGTACCTGATAGACAGATGGATTTTTTAAAACAATGAGAAGCATCATAGATCAGGCACGTTTTATGTAGATTTCTGTATTTTACTTTTTGGTGTTGGTATTAAATATTGTAAACTGCCCAGCATCCCTTGGATGGGTGAAGACTCTGAGTCAAAAATGCATTTTGATTTATTAGTCTGCATGACTTATCTCTGCTTCTCATCTATCATTATAACATTTGACAATAAAGTGAGTGAGGCAGAAGGCTCCAAGGCAACCTTTTTTTTTGCAGGAGAGCCAATATCCTAATAAAAGTGATAATGCTAATAAAATCAAAGCACATTGTTTGAAACCTGTGAGCTGTGCAAAGGTTTGGTGGTGAGTTTTGGTGGGGAGTTTTATGTACCAAAATACGGAATGGTAGGGATGTGCAAAACATGCCCACCATTCTTTTTGACTATAAGCTTTTTGTTTCCCAAGAAGTCATTCTAATACTTTACTTGAGAAGCCTCTTCCCTCCAGTTCACTTCAGATATCACTGGATATTCTTTTGCTAGTCTTAGCAAAGCATCTAGTTATAAATAACAGAGAGCTAACCATGCCAGCTTCTCACAGGAAAAACAAGGAAGGAGGACTAGTAGGTTGATGATGGCAGAAGCTTTTATGAGGCAAAACCTGTCTGTATGCAGTGCATGTTGTTCTCAGTTGGCAGGTAAATTGCCATGCTGGGAGCTTTTTTGTGTGTAAACTCACATGGGACTGTGTGGCCTTTCAAGCTGTTGGTCACAGCTTGGTCCTGTCTCCATCTCCTTTCAGGCTGACCTGGAGGGGATTTTCCCGAGAAGGAATCCCTGATTTGCTTTGAGCTTTGGCAAAATTTTAGCAGTGGCCCAAAGGAGCAGGTTTATTATGCTGTGTCCTTAATAACAGCACAAGCAGAAATGCCCACCCTCCGAGACCTGTTTTCTAGATTTTTAAACGGTATCTTGGATGTGAACACCTTGATATACTGTTGTGTTGGAGACATTTTTGCTTGTTGGAAAATAACCAGAAAGACAGAGAATGTTTATCTTGCTCAGCTGAGACAGGTCATTGTGTGCTGATCAAATTTGTCTCTCCAATTTCCTTTTCTGACTTCCCCATGTGCACGTGTGTTTGCCCACACGCACAGGGGCACACGCAGACACAGGCGCCTCTAGCAGTCTCTTGTTTGCTGGTTTGAACCACTCATTTCAAAAACACGCTGCGAACAAAGGATTCTGCTGCAGGTTTGGAGTCTCATCCTGAAAACTTCAGCACTTTTTATTAAAATAATCCTCATTTGAGCTCTCAAGTTTATGCAGGGCCAGGCTGGGAAGTCTGGTGGGATCTTGGATGCCGAGTTCTGTTTATGCTGTCCTGCCCCAAAGGTGACCTGTGAATTCTAGTAGATGTTTAGTAAGTGGGCTTTGGCATTTGTTATGTGGGGGAAACTGTTTTGAAAAAGGAAAGAAGAAGCATTCCATAGTCGGCAAGACCAAGTTCACGCCAGGGCTAACATGGGGTGGAATGAGAATGGGGAAAGAAACCCACTTGTCAGAATCTGAACGTAACCCAAAGGCTGTTCTCACTTTATCTGTGAATTACTTTTTCCTTTTGGCTGCCGGTACAAAGATTTCCCCTTCAGCCAGCACGTTTTGCAGCTGGAACTGCGCAAGCGTGTGTGTGATTCTTTTCCCCCCAAGTTTAGACCAGTGTTACGCAGACAACAGTCCCATTCGATAGCAAAGTCATTGTTTCTTACTTGACAAAGCTATGCCATTTAAATACTGCCTTGCTGTGCAATTATTAGGTTTTGTTGTCCGTGTGTGTGTTGCGCAGTGTTCTTTTTTGTTTTTGTTTTTTTACTGGTTCAGTGTAACATTTAATGATTTCCCCAAAGCTTCAAGAGGACCCTGGAGTATTGCTGCAGTTTAAAATGACTCACAGCCAACGCTGGGGCTGCTTTAATATTAATTGCTCAACATGGTGCGCCTTTGCTGGCAGTTCTGCGATTCCTAAAAGAAGAAGAAGTAAACAATCAAGCCGAGGCCCATGTAAATATTGCTCTAGTGGGATCTCTGCCATGTGTCATCCACACCACGACGGAATCAGGCTGCACTTCAGCTCAGGCCTCCTCGTTGTTGCTCGAGAAGGGATCCCTCCCTCCCGCAGGCCGGGGGAAAGGAAGCCTGGCACCGGGTAGCCGAGTGTGCCAGGACTCTGAAGGTGGAGAACGCACGCTCTGACGTTCCAGGAATCCTCCTTTGATTTTTGGAAAAAGATGTTAAGTGTGCGTCCCTGGCATTTCATGCAGCCCCCAGGAGAGTCCTTCGAGAGGGGCCATAAGCACACAGAGCGGGGCGATCTGGCAGCCCTCGTTTACCTGGGCTTCCAAAAGGCTTCTGACAGTGCCCTTCACTAGAGGTTCCCTTCTCTGGTCCTTACAGGTGTCCAAGCACACCTGAAGATGCATGAACCATTTCCACTGAAATTTAGGAAAGAGCCCTTAGGACCCTTCCTGGATTCAGTGCCTGAACAGCTGCTTTCTCTCTGTCTGTGACCGGAACGGCATGCAAAATAGTGAAATGCTGCAGAACAAATAGAGCGGAAATCCAGGTGAAATTACGATTTTCTTGGTACAAAACCTTCGGCGTGTTCACATGAGGGCTTTTAAAAAATGTGAACACACAGCCTGTGGCTACACTTTCTCCCCTGGGTCATGAGACAAGCCTTTCCCCACTGATCTTCACGTCTTGCTTCATTTCCTACAAGAGCCATATTTCTTGTCCCACTTTTCCCTAACTGAGTGTCCCCCGGATCGGATGTGTGATCAAGGAATATGCAATACAGATTTACCTTCTGCCCACCCCACGGTGGCTCACTGCTGTGAGGGGGACCAGGCTGAGTCTCTGCCTGATGTCTTAACCCCGCCTCCCACATATCTGACCCGTGCTTCAGGATCTGAACCCGGAACCGTGTAGGCAGGTTGCTGTTTCCTGGACTGGCTCAGCAAAGGAAGCTGTGGGCAATTCCGGCTGGGATGCCAGCGGAGCAGTCCAGGCTTGTCTTGGCTTGTGGAAGGGGTGGCACCAAAGGCCGGTTGGCTGCCGGTCACCCAGGATCCACCGCCATCTTTCAGACACTGCTGAGCCACCGGTCCCCAGTGTGACCTCTGCCTAGGGGTCACTTGCGATGTTGTGCCGCCTGAGGCAGACGGTGCGCTGGTCACCCCTTTCCCAGGTGTAGAAGGCCCTGGCAGGGTGACTGAGGAACGGGACTGAAGGTGGACTGCGCGGACCCCAGGCAGGCCATATGGGGGCACACAGTGCTGTCCCCCAACAGCAAGGGTGGCCGGCAGGCTGAGGAGGAACAGCCGGAGGCTCCCGGCGCCGGCTGGCAGCACCTGCAGCCGGAAGCAGCCTCTCCGGCTTGCCTGGTGGTTGGGCCGGTCCTGCTTCCGCCTTGCTGCCCTCAGCCCAAGCAGCATGTCCCCCTGGCCCCCTTGGAGCTGGCCAGCTCTGGGTCAGGGTGCACATGGCGTGCAATGCCACCGAAACACGAGGGTCTCCAGAGAGCCGTGCTGCAAGGTGCTGTCCTGGGTGTTTAACCAGCTGGCGTCCGGCTCCCTCAGCCGTTGTGCCCATATAGATCTCCATGTTTTCAAAATGCTGCTTCGCTCTCTCTTTCTCCATAATTTGATTCATCTGTATTGTAATCCAGCCTTCAGAGGCCTGCTGCAGTAAATATCTGATTAGCAAAAATCGCACTGTGGCAACTCGGGGCTGTTGGTGGGTGGGGGGAGGGCAGGCGCTTCCTCCCCCCACCCTCCGTCATGGTTTCCCTTTCCCTTGCAGAAGCACCCGGGTGCCACTGCAGCCCCCACCTCTGTACTTTTCTTTCCAATAAAAGCAGCTAATTAACATTATTCTTTAATTATTGCCTCTATCAACAAGGGGTCTGATGTCTA